TCACAGTCACAATGTGTTAGCTTGCAAATTGATAGGTGGGACCTATAGCGAGTAGATGAAACTCATTTACGAGTTGACCAATCGCGAGTTAATACGTTGGGGTTATGAAAGAAAGTTTGTGAGATTGGATTGAAAGTGTAATATTACCCATTACGTGTTATAAAATCGACAATACCATCAATTAAAAGCAAAAGGAAAGGTAGAAATGGACTTAGATTCCATGTGGTTGTAACGTCCACTTTGAGGTACGTGGCTTAAATATGTTTATTTGCCTTTACTTTTGTTTGTTTGCCCTTAGTTAAGCTTGTATGTTTATAATGTTGTTTGGTTGCCTTGAGTTTTGATGAAGGATTGGCGAAGTTGGAAAATTTCAGACTTCACCGAGGCGAAGAATAAATCTCGTCGCGACGACGTATGCTCTGAAATTTTTCACCGAGGCAAAGAAAAATCTTCGCCAAGGCTAAGAGCTGGCTAAAATTCTTGAGAAGTTTCTAGAGAATTTTTCCTCAGGGGCAAAGTGACCATTCTACCCCTTATTAGTAGTAAAAGTGGGGAGTGAAAAGTAAGAAAATTTCATGGAGAATGCATTGGAGATGGGGGTGTATTTGTAATGAACTAAAGGGCAAAGATGGAATTTTTAAAAAAGTGTCAGGGCAAAATGGGAAAGAATGCATATTAGTATGTGATATTAAGGGTTTAGTCACACAAACCCTCCCATTCTCTACACCCCACACGCCACTTCTACTCTCTAATTCTCTCATCTTTTTATCAAATTTCCAAGGAAGATTCAAGGGCTTTTGGATAGAGTTTGTTAGAGATTTGATCCTAAGCATCAAAAGGTAAGGATTCCTGCTATAGATATGAGATTAATTTGTAAAAGTGTTGAATTCTTGTAGAGTTTCTACTTAGGGTTTTAGAGAAAGAATAAGTCTACCAAAGAAGAGACATCTTAATGGAATTATTCAAGCACGAGGTAAGTAAATCCAACCCTAGCCCTTGTTTGAGCAATAAAACTGTAGAGATTGTTTTATATGAATCTTATATGAATTTATATGCTTGAGATTTGTGGATGGAATTGTTATTGAGTTGATGATGATCCATGATTGGATTTCCACCATGAGAATGGATGGTTGTGTTGATAGAATTTGATAGAAGTTGAGTTGAATTTAGAAAGAGTTTAAGAAGATTGATGAAGTGTTTTTCCCTGGCCAAGATTAGTACTGATTTAAGGGAGTTTTACTCCAACTATTGGTAGTTTAAGACAGAAGTAGAAATATACCCAAAATAGAATTTGAGTATGCATGCATGTTGTTTGATGAAATGTCTAAGAGAAGTGTATGCATGCGTAGAGAAAACTTATTTTTGTTCTACATGGTATTTTTGCATTACATGTTTGTACTTAGAAAGAATTAAAAGTATGAGCCGTCCACATGCATACATATGCATATGTATGAGAACCTAAAGAATAAAGAAAGAAGGATTAAAGAGAAAGAAAGAAAAAGCTAGAATGCTTTAAAAGAAGAAAGGAACAGGTTGTTGCGATGGGGAACCCGTGAGTGACAAGAAGAAGAAGATTCCCATATACACGCCACCTTAAGTGAGCGGCCTAAGAAGAAGAAGAAGAATTTGTACGGACCATAAGAGTGTATGTGGATGAGGGCTGTACCAAGAAGAAATACCTACACGCACGCCACAATTGAGTGACCTAAGAAGAAAAGAATTTGTACAGTTCGTAAGAGTGCATGTAGATGAAGACTATACTCACTCACACAGCCAGGGTTCCGAATCCATGCATCAGCCGAGTCTGATCGGCAAAGAATAAGAAAGAATGAGCAAACAAGAAAGAAAAGAAAAGAAGAAAGAAAAGAAACAACAAGAAAGAAACATAGAAAAGAGAAAGAAACAGAATAAGAAATAGAAAAGAAGAAAAGAAAATGCATCTCTATGCATTTATGTATTTGCATCTCATCCATGCATGATACCATGATTTCTATCATGGTTAGTGAGAAATTAGAAGAAAGAAAGAACAGAGAGAGAATTAGAAAGAAAGAACAAAGAAAGTTAGAGCAAAAGAATAGTAAGAGTCACTAAGAAGTAGAAAAAGAAAGAGAGAGAATAAAAAGAGAATGAAGAAGAAGAGTAAAGTAAGGAAAGAATGCAAAGAGTGAGCAACGGAGAGAGAGAAGTATAGAGTAGCGAATTTACTTACTGCACAATTAGTGCTCACCCCATTGTTTCTCCATGTTTTACAGGAAATAGGTGAGAAGCGGTATGATGGACGTCGAGAAGCGGAGAGAAATAACATTACTGTCTATCGTTATTAAAGTTATTGTATATACTATTTTGTGATATATAAAGAATTATATATTAGGTAAAGAAAAATTTTAGGGCCCATTTATTTTTCATTTTATACTTATATATTTTATTATTGTATAATTTAAGTATATTAGCTAAGAAAGAGGGCATTACAGTGGCAAATAATCTTTTGTGAAGTGAAATATTAAAAATTAATTGAAGATGAAATTAAATTCATTAATTACTTCAGTTTAGAACATTATTTAAACATCCACATAATGCTCCCGTCAAAAACCTATATAATTTTGGATGTAATTTTGTGATACAAATTCGTTTGGTAATAGACCTTTATTTTTCTGTGCTTACTTGTTCTTTGTTAGGCTATTATAAGGGTTTGCTTGGGAGTGTTTTTTTTCACTGGTTTTAGGGATTTTTTAATTAGCCTGGTTTTGAGATGTTTAAAAACCATTTCTTGCCAGATTTTTTATGGATTAGTTTTAATTGGTTTAAAAACCCCCCAAAACCAGTGTAGTGTATTTTTGAGGGGTTTATAAAACACCCTAAATCGGGTGTTTTGGCTGGTTTAAAAATTTTATCCCTAAAAAACCCCTTTCCACTATTATTCATATACAATAATCTCTTTGTTGGTTTAAAAATTTCTTCAAACTCCATTTAATCTTCAATTTTTAGATGACTTATACAATGCTTTTGAATATTTTATCTTAGGCTTTTTAATCCTTCATTAGAGATATGAAGGTTTTTCTTTCTTTCTTCTTCATTTTCCCCTTCAACTTTTTGTTCTTTTAATCTGGTAAACTCCTCTGCAGGCTGTATACAATCTAATTGCATTTCTTTACCAATTGTTTTACAAAATTAGGTGGTTTTTCCTCTATTTGATTCTTTCTATTTGCGTTTAGGTGATTGATTGAATCCTTGTTAGTTTGTTAAATAAATATTGTTTTTGATGACTTTGCTTCACTGATTGAAGAAAAGAACAAAAACTGTTTTTTAGAAATGCTCTTGCGGCTGTTATATTGATAATTTGCGAAGTCCAACATTGTGGCAGCATATTTATTCTCTTAAAATGAAAGATTTCGAATGATTGTATGACGAATTAAATAATATACAATGAAAGAACTTACAAATAAATTAAACTTGGAAGGAACTTTGATACTAAGTATTGGTAATTGAAAAAAAAAAACTCATAAGTACTGGTTGAAGTTTCGGTATTTTTATGGGCATATATATAAATTTATTATTTTAAAAAACTGTCAGAACCGCAAAAAAATAAACTCCCAAGCATAGATTGGGCGTTTTAAAAACTGCTACTAAAAACTCCTCAAAACCGTTATTGTGGTTTACCCTTAAAACCGCTACGATGGTTTACCCTAATAACCGCTACCATAAAACTCCCAAACAGACCCTAAATCTTCCATATCCTAGGGCATTCTTCATAGAGAAATTGAAACCATAATTCAAGTCGGAGGCAGTTGAAAATTGACTTAATAAACAAATTGAGCAACTACAAGTTCATTAATTTTTTGCTACTATGAAGATGAAATTAATTATTAGCATAACGATGTAGCAATGTTCTAATTTTGTTGTTAATAATTTATATTACTAATTGCTGAAATTAATATATTTTTGTAAATTGATTTATTATCTTTTATATTTATAATAAGAAATTAAAACAATTTATATGAAGCAGGATGGTTCTTCTTCTTCTTCATCCATCACTGTTGAAGAAAAGAAGTATAATGTATTTCTTAGAGCTTGTTTAGTCGAGTTTATATAAATTAGCTTCTAAACAGCTAGTATTTATAAGATAATTTGAACTTATAAGCATTTAAAATTTAAATAGTTATGTGTTCGGTTAAAATACTTATAAGTCATTGATAAGTAGTTGAAGCGGTTTGATAAAAGGTAAGTTATAAGTATATTTTATTATTAAAATAACTAAAAATGTTACTACATTATTTTATCAAATAATAAATAAAGTTATATGATAAAATTTTAAAATTAAATAGAGGTAATATAATAATATACTTGGTGAAAATACTTTATAAAATAGAGTTTATAAAGAAAAAAAAAATCAACTTATTTTATTGACTTATAAGAGCATCTCCAAAAGAATGTCTATCTATAAAATAAGAGTTCAACATATTCTTTATCTTTAAAATATAAATTAGAGAGTGAGTTTGACTCTCCATATTTAGAAAGTCAAATTTCACTCTCTATCCTAATTTTAATTAATAAACTATAAATTCCTATGTATTTTATTTATTAATTCTCTCTCCTATTAAGTTTTTTTCTTAAAAATAAAGAGTATTATTATTAAATTTAAAAAGTCTATAGAAGTTGAATAAAAATTATATTTTTTATATTTAAAAGCTATTGTTTATTTATTTATATAAAAGATGCCTTCAAAATAAGAAAATAATTAGAGATGCTCTAATCCCAAGTTAGCTAATAAAATTAAAACAAATAAATCAGCTTGATTTGATTTTAGAGCTTATTCAAACACCCCTTCGCTACCCGCAACACATATTCCGGCATTTTACATGGAGTTTTGAACAGTTTTGGTATAAATGTTTTCACTGATGATGAACTTAAGAGAACATTTTGTCGTCTCTCGAAGAACTTGTGAAGATATTGGAGTTCAAGAAAACGCAAATTGAGGTGGTAATACCCGTTTTATCACATAGATCCATCACGTGAGGAATCAAACGGGAACTTTTGGGGAGGGATTTGCTAAGCTTGTAGAAAGCTTTAACAAGGAGAAGCTAAAGAAGCTTCAAATCATAGAAGAACAATGGAAAGATAAGGTGCAGAGATGGAGGAATGCTTTGACAGAGGCAGCTAATCTATCTGGCTGGACATCAGAAGAGGAACCGTAATTTTTCTTCTCTTTAATTTAGTACTATTTAGTTTCCCCTAATATTAATTTTTATATTATATATCATACGTATCCATAAGCACAATCAAACGCTCATTAATTAAGTTAAATGAATCCACAACAAATCAACTCCCCAAGTTGTTAGTGTTCAGGGAACTTCATGACTTGACAAGCGCCAATTCACCAAATTTGTTTATATTCTTTGGACCCTTTTGCTTTGCATTTTCACTTGGTGCTTTTGTCTTTTCGTTTCTAGAAAAGAAGGGAAAGTTTGGAAGGAGAGTGGGGTTTCAATGGCGTTTTTGCAGAGGCTAATCTTGAACAGGAAGCCGGTGCTTTATGGGAACTGTAGGAGGAGTCTCTGCAGTTCGCTCTCTGCGGTTCCTAGTGATGATTATTCTTCTTCTTCCTTGCCGCCCAGTTGCCGCCCTTTGATTATCAGCCTAAGCATTACTTGGGTCCTTCTGCTGACAAGTTCTTGAGAAAAGAAAGCACTTTTTGGTCCTTCTATGTTTTATTACTATCAAAAGCCTGCAAGTTTTTGTGTTTTTGGGAAATGCGTTTGTTTTAACATAGTCATTTTTTAGTGTTTTTGTACTAAAAATATGATCTTTATCTTAAAGTTGAACTCTTTCTAAGTTATGTTGTTTGTGATTACTAGTTGTTATGGAGCTTAAGTGCTTCTATTTGAGAGGTTTTATTTTTTCTTTTTTGGTGCATTTGAAGGACAAAGAGTGGTTTACTTTTGTCAAATGGATTTTTTTAGTTCATGGCTGGTTATGTTGTTTATGAATTATATATTCTTTTGTTTTGGGCCTTTGTATGAACTTGAGTCATAAAATTTTATGAACTTGATGCATAAAATTTTAGTTGATTTTATAAGCATACTCGATATGAAGTTAAGAGAGTTGCATAATTGCTTAATTTCTGCTTTGATTATCACTTTTTATCAAAGAATCCAATTAGTTGTTATTGTTTTTGAGTTATTGCTAATATTGTTGAAGAGAAATGGAATATCTATGTGACAAGAGTGTGATGAATTTTTATGAACTTGTTTAAATTTTTGTAATGTTTGGTTTGTAAAGCAAAGTTGTACGCAAACACTAAGCCAAGTTTATTGCATGATTGGTTATTCTTTACTTTTGCTGTTCCTTGTTGTGATTAGCCGATATTTTTTCCTTGTTTTGGTGTACAGCTCAATATTGTTGAAGGGAAAATGCAATACTTGTTTAATGAGAGCGGGAGGCGGTGCCTAGATGCTTTTGCTGGAATAGTTACTGTGTCTTGTGGGCATTGCCATCCTGATATCGTGAATGCTATTACAGAGCAAAACAATCTTTTCCAGCATGCAACGACTGTGTACTTACACCATGCTATAGCTGGCTTTGCTGAGGCATTAGCATAAAAAATGCCTGGAAATCTAAATGTTTGTTCTCGAATCTAGCATTTGATCCATTCTTTCTGTTATATGGTGATATTTTTTGGATGAGATTTTCATTTTATAGCATTACACATTAATTTGGCCACTTAATAACAACATTATGATGACAATAAACGTCTTTAATTACTTTGAGATTTGAAATGCAGGTTGTGTATTTCGTCAATTCTGGGACAGAAGCAAATGAACTAGCAATGTTGATGGCCAGACTTTACAGTGGTAATCTTGGCATGATTGCCCTAAGAAATGCTTATCATGTTGGAAGGTCCAATACAATTGGACTGACTGCCCTAAACACATTGAAGTACCCCATACCACCGGTTTGTCGGCGTTCTATATGTTCAGAGGATATGTATTTAACATGGTTTTTTGTTTGATAAACTTTTGATATTTGGAGATGTTTGCAACGACACCATAGTGTGAAACTCATCATCTCAGGAACATTAGGGATTAATAGCATTTCTTTCTTATCTCATACACTTTTCGCAAGGGTAAGCTGGTTTAGTAAATATCCAACAATGTTAACATGGGATGTGAATTACAGCTTACTTTACAAATATTGGCTGTGGCATGCTTATTTCTTCAGTCTTGTCTTCTGACACACACCCATAACTGTAGCAAGTTTCTGAAAAGTTTTAGTGAAGAGTAAATTGATTTGTATCATATATACTTAGTTTATTTTCTTTATTTGTTTATTTAATGAAAAGAAAAAATAAATAATATGTTTAAGAGTGAAATTCAACCTGTGTTCATAATCTGACCTGGCACTTTGCAGGGTGAAATCCCTCATGTTGTAAATCCAGATCCATACAGCGGAATCTTTGGCTCGAACACGGCCCTTTATGCCAAAGACGTACAAGATCACATTGATTTTGGAAGTTCAGGAAAAGTTGCTGGTTTTATAGCTGCCATTCAGGTTTTGATTGATAGTTGTCCCTAAAGATATGTATAAATTTGGTGCTTTCAACAGCCCTGAATTGGTCTTTAAAAATTGCACTTCCCTTTTTCTAAGTTTTGACTAAATTGAGGGAGTTGGTGGAGCAGTGGAATTGGCCCCTTGATACTTAAAACATGTTTATGACCTTGTGGGCAAGGCTGGTGGTGTCTGCATTGCTGATGAAGTGCAAACTGGATTTGGTCGAACTGGAGGCCACTACTGGTGCTTTCAGACACAAGGGGTCATTCCCGACATAGTAACCATGGCAAAGGTTTTTGATGATAATCCCTTGAGTTCTTAATGTTGCCCTGTACATAAACAATTAGCCTTTTTCAATATTATCACCAATCTAATTAGTGTTTTTTTTTTTTTTTTCCCTTCTTATGGTACTCATTTAGATAATTCATTTACATTACGATAATATGATTTTCCAGGGAATTGGCAATGGTTTGCCATTAGGAGCTGTTGTGACAACCCCAGAGATAGCTAGTGTAATGGCTCTGAAGATTCAGTTGAACACTTTTGGTGGAAACCTGGTATGTTCTGTTGGTGGGCTTGTGGTGCTCAGGGTTATCGATAAACAGAAGCGTCAAGCACATTATGCTGTCGTTGGTTCTCACCTGATTGGACGCCTGAGAGCTCTACAAGAGAGACATGATAGTAATTACTCTTGAACTAATGAATTCTGAGTGTTTTTTTTTTTTTTCCCTTCAATTGACTGTGTTTGACTTTACATTAAATTGAACTACAAATTTGGTGAGAGCTGGGCTATTTAACCACATTTTTTATATCTTGTAAACAAATGTCCTGCACAGAGTTTCTCAGATTAAATGCTTTATGCTTTGGAATTGCAATTTTATTATGCAGCTTTTCTCACATTGATGTAATGTTTTTTCAGTCATTGGAGAGGGAGAGGACTCATGGTGGGAGTGGAATTAGTAACTGAAAAGAAGGAGAAGACGCCTGCAAAGGCCTAAACTGCAGTCTTGTTTGAGAAACTTAGAGGTACAATTAACCAACTATCTTCTTCAGAGAAAAGCTCTTGATTCTCAATTTACATTGACTCGTTGCAATTGCAGAGCTAGGTGTTCTTGTTGGGAAAGGTGGACTACATGGAAATGTTTTCAGAATCAAACCACCAATGCGTTTATCCAAAGATGATGCTGGTAACTTTTCTGTAGCTTCCTTTCATCAAATAGATCTTACCAGTAGCCGTTGAATCTGTTATTGTAAATTTGTTTTGTCATAATGTTTAATCACACTGTTCTGTTGTGGAAATGCAGATTTTCTTGTTGATGCTTTGGACTATGCAATGTCAAAGTTATAAGAGTATTAGTCTTTTAAGAGCCTGGGAAAATCATGTAACTCTTCAACACCTTTGAATATCAATCTCTTCAGAAAGCTTATTTTTCAATAATATCAAGCATGTTTCCACAAATTTCAGCTCACTGTTAAATGATGAAATGTATATTATTTCACAATATTTCTAGTTGGGTTAATCATAATATATTATCTTTCTTTCTTTGAAAGTTAACCCCTCCCTGCAAAATAGGAATGTTTATATATCATCCAGGCTTACCATGGATTTTGATCATGCCAAATATTCATATAGAAATTCTTATGTGTGTATATTTTGTAGTTTTTAAAATGCGGATCAACCACTAATTGTTGACTTTTGAATTTCGATACGCATGTTCGTCATCATAAAATATTGGCAATATCTATATACATCTTTCAGAGAATGGTTGTAATATTCTTGAATGCAATCTTGATTGAAAGTCCCCATAGCCATACAAAAGAAACAAGCCAATTAACCAAACACAACATCATAAGAAAACCAGTAATGGCAGCTTACAACAGTGAAAAGAGTAATCAATATCATTTCACTGCCAGAAAACCAAACTTCAGCAGAAGTAGATAGTAACGCAACAGAAGAACCATCCGGCAGTAAAAGATTATGTAGAAATCTGGAAATATTTTTGATATTATTGAATGCAATTTTGATAACAAGTCCAACTATCTGGAGACAAATCTGACAATGCAATAAACTAGTGTTTCAAACAAAACAAAACATTCGAATAATGGCGGCTTAAAACACTATTAAAGTGCAATCAGCATCATTTCACAGTTCAGTCCAGAAAACCAAACACCAGAAACATTAAAACAGCATGTGTCCACGCATGTTCGCACGAGATCAAGCCAGTCTGAAAACACAACGACTAACATACCAAAAAAAGCTACTTCGTGATTCTTGAACAGAATGGAGAATGCAGAGCATAGGGCATGAATATAAATTGCTGAAGGCTGGCTGATAAATTCATGAGTTTCATATATGTTTTAAAAAAAATTCCCTCCGTTTATGCCCAGAAATCGAGTAAAAAACCTTGATTTTTCCAGTGGAGGGTTTCCTTCCAAAGCAAGAAGAAACCTGCTGTTCTGAGTTTGCACATGCATCAGCCATCATTTTACCACCGGAGGGACATGGGAAAGTAAAAGGGAATCAATCAAATTGCTCCAATAACCTTGTATAATAAGCTCATGGGTTTGGAGTTACATCACCTTTTCTGTAAGAAGATTTCAACCTCCAAGTTTCATTTACATTTAGCCCAGTCCATGCGCTTCCGTTCCGCTTGTGCAACCCATTTGCATTGGATATAGTTTAAACTGTAAAATACAATGAATATTTACATCAATAAAAAAGAAAATAAAAAAATAACATAGCCATATGTTATTTCTACATGTGAATAAATAATGCAACATCCGTGCATTATGACTTATGATCATTGTATAATCTTTTTTTTTTTTTAAATAAAAAGTTAGAAACCAAACCGAAATATTTTCGTGAATTCAATCCAAACTTACTATTCCCTTCTTATTGGTGGCTCGTATATTCCTGAATGTGGGGACCAGCTTTCTAAAGTTTCAAATGGTATATTTTCGTCCATATCTTCATGTTTCACGCAGCAATGGAGATGGCACCTCAAGCACCCATATATATTTGGAAATCTCTGCTCTCTTTCCACTCTTCCATCTGTTCTCGTATAATTATCTTTAGCGTACAACAATCTGACTCCACACTTTTTCAACTTAGTTTTCCTTCTGCTATTCTTACTTCCATGCACAACAAAGAACTCCATGTAGCCCTTGCTATTCGAACTGTGAGTAAGCAATTCCAAGGCCATGATATCATAATTATATCCTAAAAATACATGATCTGCTTCAATAACATCATCTGTATCAATAACCTCATGCCCATAATTATTAAACAAACAGCCAGTGGAAACGATCTCCTCGTTAACAACCAGAAAACAACGAACTTGCAAAGCTTCAGCCTCTTCATAGTCTCGGAATGATGCAACAGCGCAAAAAGAAAAACCAATTAAGTCATCAGTGAGCCAATCTGATGGAAGCTCTATATAACCACTCTGACTTGGAAAGTCAAACCAATCTGGAATTTCGCTTCCAGGGTAACATATAAAAGCCTTTGGCAGGTTACCCCTTGACAGCCATGTTGTGTTTTCCTGTGCCAAGAAAATTATCAACTTCTAACCTTAAGTTTAAATATTCTATAGCAATTTATTTATTAAACTAAGTAAATGAAATTCGTATATATATAATATGAGAGAGAGAGAGAGAGAGAGAGAGAGAGAGAGAGACAGAGAGACTTACTTCAGAGCTAAACCATACATCTGCATTTCTCTCAATATTCCGCAAAGCATCAGTCAAATCTAGTTTCAGATTGCAACAATTGATGAAGCTAATTTCCTCTTCGTCTGTCCCCATACTTAGGCATTGAGTTGGTAAACCTGATAATGCTTCCAGTGATGTGCAACCCTTTGCTTCTATATGTAGTAACTTATCTGGAAGTTCCGGTAAGGATTTCAGCCTCTGGCAATAGCTTACGTCAAGCTTATACAACTTAGAGAGGTCTTTGATACTCTCTGGTAGACTCTCAAAATGGTTTCGCCCAAGATACAAAAATCTCAGTGAGCGTAAGTCGCTAAGATTGCTGGGTAGTATTTCGATAAAACAGTCTTCCAGATTTAGCCGCTTCAGTTTGTGGCAGGCCGGTAACTCTGACAGTAGGGAATTCGGTGGCTTCTGAATACTACATCTTGCGAAAGATAATGCCTTAAGGTTTTTCAAACATGTTATAGGCAACGACGGTATATCTGTTATACCAATTCCCTCCACTTCAAGTTCCTGCAGTGCTTTTAAATTTTCCAGGCCTTTAGGCAACCTGTTGATTTTTGCAGAACCCGAAAGATAAAGACATTGAAGAGATTTAACCTCACGAATGCTCTCTGGGAGATTCTCTAGTCTTAAACAATTTTTAAGACTCAATATTACTAGCCTAGACAGATGCTTTAATGGCGGCAATTCTTCAATTGCAGTTCCATCTAAGTATAATTCTTCTACACTATTAGGGATGCATGGAACTGCTTCGATCTTTGAACAATTGGAGAGAATAACTCTTCGAAGATTCTTTGACTCACCAATGCTCTCTGGGAAACTCTCTAGCTTTGAACAATTTTCAAGATTCAATATTTTTAAGCTGCAAAGATGCTGTAATGACGACAATTCTTTTATTGCAGTTCCATTTAAATATAACTGTTGTACCGTATCGGGGATATATGGAACTGTTTTGAGATTCGAACACTTGGAGAGAATAAGTTTTCGAAGAGATCTCCAACCAGAGTTGATTGGAAGACTTTCACAGATTTTACATTCTTGTAGATCCAAGACGACAAGCTTATTGAGATTACGGATAGATGAGAAATCAACATACAATTTTGTACAACCACGTAGAATCAAGCTCTCAAGATTTGGACATAATGAGAGATTTGGCATTTCGAGTAGATGCTCGGAGTAACTGAGGTCAATATGTTTCAAATAATTAAGATTCTGTAACAAAAGAACAAATTGAATAAATTAAAAAAATAGAAATAATATTTAAATATTTACAATCTAAAGCACAAAATGGTAATATAAAAATTAACAAATACCTTGACACCAGTCCAAAGTCGTTTAACTTTGCCATCAGTCATGTAGAGTGCAACAAGGTTCTCTGGATTAAAATTTCGTGGCAATGATTCGGCAGAATATTTAAACCAACTAAGGTACCTTAGCTCAGAGAAATCAGATTTAAGGTCTTCAAAACCATATACCTTGTTACCACTCGTGAAGCCGTAGGCTTCCAAGAACCTTAGGTTATACATGTTCTTGAAAGCTTTAGGATGTAAATGTATCTCTCTTGCTTTAGACTTATCCAAGCTTATGCTTCGAATAGCTCTTGTCCCCTATAAAATCAAGAACAGATCGATGATAAATTAGTTTGAAATTTCTTAATTACATAATTTGTCAAGCAATTCCTTTATCTATAGTTTCAATTAAAAAAAAAAAAAAAAAAAACTGTCAAGTAATTAATTCTCATATAAAACATTTATTTTTTAACCTTCTTTTCAAAATACGTAAATATAAGACATCTCAGATTCCCACTCAATCACTTTACCAGTTGAACTAATTCCCAAGGATAATAAAAGGAATATTCTGCAAGCTCGTATTTTATTATATCTCATATATAAAATAGAAAAAAAAAATTAGTCTCTTTGGCTCTCACCGTTTTATATTTCAATACTGAATAGATTTCCTCGTGACCCCACAACCGGCTACGCTCTCCATAATTATTAGCTGATTCTTGACGAACAATTTCTCGTCCCATATCTTGAAGTAAATCATGCATTGTGATGGTGTTGAATGATGTAGTTATGAGAGACCTTTCAATGAGAACATTTATATTAAAACCTGAGGTGAAGCCACAAGCATCCAAGATTTCTTCTATAAGATCTCTTTCAATCCCTTTAAAGAAACATGCAATATCTAAAAATATTTGCTGTTGTTCATCATTTAGCCCATCATAGCTTACTTTTAATGCATTTTGGATATCCGGATGAGGAATTCTTTTCAACTGTTTTAGAGCACTTTCCCAATCTTGTATTGTCCTCCCAAATAGAAAGGAACCTAAAACTTTAAGAGCAAGTGGAATACCTTCAGCATATTCTACCACTTTAAATGATAGCTCAATATAATCTTCTGGTGGACTGTTTTCTCCAAAGGCATATTGGCTAAAAAGTTGAAAAGCGTCAACACCAAATAATCCCTCCATCTCGAGTATGTGCATGCGATCCACCCCACATTGTTCTAGTACGTGTTCATCCCTTGCTGTTATGATTATTCGACTATCTGAGTCCAAGTAGTCAAAATCTTCCATTAAATATTCCACTTGTTCTAATTTCGTCACATCATCAAACACAATAAGAACACGGCCAAGCTTTTTTCTTTTCAAGGTGATTCCAGTATTGGGATGTTTATTCCCTAAAACTGCAGAGCTAAGCCATTGGCGCAAGTCATTTAATCCCCCACTTTTTTCTGATTCTTCTCTAATATTCCTTGCGAAGAAATAAGCTTCAAACTTTTTACAAATTTTTCTAAATACCGCACAAGCAAGAGTTGTTTTACCTATGCCACCAATGCCCCAAATTCCCAACTTGCAAACACCAGACGTACATAATAAATTTTCAATTTGATTAATTGTTGAATCCAATCCAACTAGGTCCTTATGGTCAATTTCTGAGCACTCATCATTCAATTTCTCCAAAATATCTTCGACAATATCCTTTACAAGTGATGATTCCTGCCTAAAAAGTAAAAAGTAAATAAATAAAACAATACTGAAATTAGATAAATTAAAAGGAAAGAAAGATAAAATTAAGGTTAAAAAAATTGGAAACCCTTGATGCCAAAGAAGTTATCAAATCGCAGTGTACATGTTTTCAAATCTTTGAATTTCAACATAAATTGTGTTTTAAAAAGATGCATACATGACATAAACAAGCATATATGCAATTTAATAGTTAAGCCTAAAAACAAGCTAAATGAAATTTTAGATAATAAATTACGCATATCATGTACAAATTTAATAATCCAGTCCAACAAGTAAGCCCAAATGAAATTTTAGATTATAAATAAATTAAAACACATTTATACAAACTTAATAAATTAATGTTTTGATATAGGAGAAATTATTTATTACCTAATAAATCATATCCTACTTTTATAGGTTTTCCCTTGTTAGTATGATTTCATTTATTTGCTTTATCATTTATTCTGGAAGTTATAATTATATTGATAAAAAATAAAAACAATAGATATCAAAGTTTCAATATTTATTATCATAAAAAAATTAAAACATATTATTTTTTTAATCTTGCTCGCCCTACCCCCTCCTTTGAATTTCTGGTTGTTATTCAGTTGTTTTCTTTCATTTTATTAATAAACTTGATATCTTATTTTTTAAGAGAGCTACGTTGATAGTTTTTTTTTTCCAGTACTTCGTCAAAAATCATCTTTTTATTTAAAACAAAATCACAGTCTGCATGTTTTCAAAAAGCATATTAATAAAATTAATTGCAAACAAAGTTCTTGTGCATAAAACCACACACACAAAAAATAAAAATAAAATGGTGTTAATATAGAGTAAAGGTAAAAGCAAAGAAAAAATCTATTTGAGACTTGGAAGAATTATCAATTGGCAAAAAAGTACAGTATGAAGCAGAAGTTGGAGTGAGAAACAGAATAAAAATCATAGTGTGTGTATATATATGTCTTATTGTAGAAATCTAAATTAATTTCATACAAACATTTAGTGAATATAAAACACAAATATTAAAATTTAGAAAACAATAAGAAATATACCGATGTTCGTTGTTGGAGTGAGATGAGGGGAAATAAAGTAACGGTCATAGAAAAGAAACAATTTGATTTAACTTTTTTTATTACTCCTTGTTGTAAATATTTGCGTTGTTCCAAATGATCATTCTCTGAAATACCTATCTGTAGTGAATTCGAAAAAAAAAAAAAAAAAAAAAACAGCTGAAAGTTAAATTAACAATTACCTATAGTTTTTTGAATCAAAACCAGATAGGTTGGCAGCATTCCTTAAAGCAGTCCTCCATCTCTGCAACTTCTCTGAATCATCCTTAAAACGTTCTTCAAGCTGAGAAAATGCTCTCCCAAAAATGCCAGTTTGATTCCTGACGTCAGATGGAGCTACATGATAAAACACTGGAATTACAATCTGACAATTGCACTCAAGAATATCTTCAAGTTCTTTGAGACACCATCTCGAAGAAGCATATTTTTCTGAGAATATGACAACCGAGATCTTCGATTGTTCGATTGTATTCGAAAGAGAGTGAGAAATTGGATATCCTCTGATAAGTTCATCGTCAATAAAAGTAGGAATATTTTGCTGACGCAATGCTGCATACAGATGGCTGGTAAAGTTTTCCCGGGTGTCCTCACCTCGGAAACTAAGAAAAACTTTGTACTTTAGTTTAGGAGTAGTGGAAGAAGAAGAAGAAGAAGAAGAAGAAGCCATTAACTTCTAGTGATTAGAGGTATTTCACATTAACAAATCATAAAAGGGCTAAACACACACAGCCCATAGTAGAGTGAAGACTTCATATTCCGCTATGGAGTTAACTTTTGGTCCTTGAGGTTTAGCTTATATATGTAACGTCCAATAGAATCTGACAGTAACACACAGGTCCTTGTAAGTGTAAGGTAACAACTTTTTATTATTTTTTTAAAAGTCTAAAATACCTCTAATCTTTTCTTATGTAAATGAAATTAAAAATTAATAGAATTATAAAAAATAAATAAATAAATAAACAGCTGCTAACTGAGAATTCTGGTAAAAATTTATAACAATTCCATTAATTACAAGAAAAAAAAAAAAAAAAAAAAACAGATTAAGGGTATTTAGACATTTATAAAAAAATTTCAAAATATTGACACTTGATAGGATCTAAATGTTACTATCTTGTTTTTTTGGACCTTAAATATTTAGACCATACCTCGGGGACCAAATGGATTTCACTCTTCCACGATCTCTAAGTCTTTGAATCAATTGTCGTGGATTTCTACATTCATCTTCTTTCCATTTTCTATTTTATTGTATTCATCTACTTTCTCGGAAGATGCAAGTAACAATTGACACTAGGTTGAATGCATGGTACGTACAGTGAAACAATATGTATTTGTAGATTAGGATGAGTTCTAACAAGTAAATTGGCTTTTAATTCATATTCGGCTCTGATTAAAAAAAAAAAAAAAAAAAAATTCTAAATTGGCACCCTGCAAAAACCAAACTAGCAATAGTGGAACAAGAGCAAAAAGACATTGATAAGACATCAAATAATTGAGTACTTGCATCAAGTTCTCTGTATTTTAACTTTTATCTTCTTTCCTGGAAGGTGCCTCATTAAAAAAATAAAAAGAAGCCATTGACTAAGACGTTATATAATTGAGTCTTTGCATCAAGTTGCATTTTAACTTTATCTTCTTTCCTAGAAGGTGCCTTGCCCTTTTTTTTTTTTTTTTTTTTTTCTTTTTTTGACCAGACTTATAATTACATCCCTAACAAGCAACTAATGAGCCAGTTACATTTGGTGTGACTGTGTTACACAGATTCATTAATTCACACGCAAGAAATTCCGCAATGAGAGTTCACATTTGTAACACATAATTTTGAGGTAATAAATAATGATCAAATAATAACTTACCCTCTTCCCTTTACACCCAAAAGTTTTCAAAATGTAACAGTGACCTCCCCAAGTCTTTTCAAGAAAGGCTGTGTTTGTTTTTCTATTCCTATCCTATCCTATTCAAAATAGATGTTTGTTTCACCATTCTCAAAATCTAATTATATTCTATTCAACTAAAAAATATTTAGATTTTTTTAACCTCCTAAGTTTGTCAATTTAACAAAATATCCCCAACAATAAAATTTTATAAATTAACAAAAACATCCGCATCCACTCACATATTTCCGACAGCCAACCACCACGGCGGACATTTAATGGGTACGTGAGAGTGTTTTTGTTAATTTTAAAACTTTTATTGTAGAGGGTGTTTAATTAAATTAACAAATGTAGGGATTAAAAAAATCTTACCAAACATATTTTCAAATCTTATACTCGTAACAATAACACAACTTGATTTTTTTAAAAATATAATTCAAAATAATAAAATAAACACACCCTTAACTGTGTATATTACAAATGAATGTTGGCTCAATTTACAGATTTTGAGCAACCTACGTTGACAATGAAAGTGACAACTTAATTGAATATGTAGGTCATGCAACATCTTTTGTTTTGTTTTTTTGAATTTCCGCAATTTTGCGCATTTGATTGATTTTACTAGGGAAAAACATAGTGGGATAGAAATAAAAAAATACAATTATATGATGAATTGTAAATTTATGCATGTTGATTAGGTGGACTAGCATCATGCTGAGACAGAGGTCATCAAGTCGCAGTGACTTTTTGTCCACTTCATGGGCCCTCCTCCGAATCAGACCGCTAAATTTGCCACATCATCATCCGATTTGTGATTCCATCTACTATTTTTGATCACCCACTAAATGAAGACTAAAATTCCAATCAAGTCTTATTTAATAATTCGATTAGTGCATGATAATGAAGCCAGCGCACCTAACCACTGATGGTCCACGTCACCACTCTATAAACAATCACATGGTCGCTCAGCAATCATTGTAGGACCCATGCACACCTCCATTGGTCCGTGTCCATTCACCATTTACACGTGGCACGATGGGAACGAAAGGGAGGCCGGTCTAATATTTTGTACTTTAGTGGAAGAAGAAAAAGAAGAGGAAGCCATTAACTTCTAGTGACTAGAGGTATTTCACATTAATAAAACATAAAAGGGCTAAAAACACACATCACATAATTGAGTAAATGAATTTATATTCCACTATCGAGTTAAATCTTCAAGGTCCAGTAGAATCTGACATTAGCATATAGGTCCTTTTAAGGTAACAACTTTTTATTTTTTTTTAAAGTCTAAAATACCCCTAATCTTTTCTTATGTAAATGAAATAAAAAATTAATAGAATTATATAAAAAATAAATAAATAAACAGCTGCTAACTGAGAATATTCTGGTAAAAATTTGGAACAATTCCATTAATTATAGGAAAATAAAAATTAACAGATTAAGGGTATTTTAGATATTTATAAAAGGGTTTCAAAAAGCTAATACTCAATAACGATAAGGACCTAAATGTTACTATCACATTCTACCGAACTTTATTTACTTAGAACATACCTCGGGGACCAAATTAGGGTTCACTCTTCCGTAATTTCCAAGTCTTTGCATTGCTTCTTGTGGATTTCTACTTTCATATTTTTTTTCCAGGAAGGTACCTTCCCTTCTTCTATTTTATTGTTTTCAACTCTTTTCTCGGAAGATGCATGCCCTACCTAAAATTTTAAAAACTCTAAATCACGTGTCAGTCGGCTTTAATCTCTTACTTTAAAACAATTGACACAAATCCATCCAATTGATACTTACCACCCATTCAATTGATCATTCTTTAAAATTTCAATTTGTCATAATGTTCTTATTTTATTGAATAATTCTACAAATATAAAGTGTATATATAAAGACTTCATACAAAGTGAAGTGTCACCAAATGAATGGATAAATTAATATAAGAAATCAACTTAACAAATTGCTAATAAAATAAGGTTGACTGAATTGACAATAAAAAAATTGAATAATACTTCATGTAGGAAGTTTTTATATAATTTCTCTCGTACATACTGATGTGTTTTAAGATGATTGAATTATTTTAAATTAAGAACAAATTAAATCACTAAAGGAGATTACACGTCGAATATACAAGATTGTTAAATCACTTTCTAGAGATTAGTTTGTATAAATATTTTGTATATGTAGCATAACTCAAAAAATTATGCCATGTCATTTTGTATGAATTTTTTTTTATTGTTTATTTTTATACACACTTTGTACGGAGTGTTATTTTATAATATTGACTAGTTGGCTGATCATGTTCTTGATAACTTAATTTAGTGTAGTAGGTATTGCAATCACATCATGTTCACGACTTTCTTAATCCCTGATGTCACTTTAATTAAATTTTGAAATAAGTGGTGATTTTTGGATTAATGTATTATATACAAAACTAATGAATCTTGGAATTTGAAGGATTTTGGCTCATAAATTATGTGTAAACATTGACAAACAAATCTTGTGTGTTCAAAAATTTTAATAAAGAATTTTGAAATTTTAAGACTGTTTGTTGTTCTAAATCATATGACTAATTAATTTGCTTCACAAGCATTCATCACCACATTATTCCTATAAGAACATGTAAAGACAAAACTCATAAGAATTTCTTATCATGGGGGAATAACTATGGCATCCAGTTGGTGCTTAGCTTTTTCAATGTTGAAATTGAAGTTCAATTTGTTCTCTCTTTCGGTGACTATGTGACAATGGTTGTACTTTATTTCTACTTTCATCTTTTTTTTCTCGGAAGATGCATTGCCTTATTCTTTATTGTTTTCGTTTTCATCTATTTTCTCAGAAGATCGATGTATCAGTATGTATTTATAGATTAGGATGAGTTCTAATAGGTAAAAGTAGAACTGGCAATGGATCATGTCGTGCCTAAAAATTCAAGGTCTATCGTATTGTAGGCTGTGTCGTGCCAAGGTTCATAGAAATTTATGCCTTAACGTGTCGTGTTGGCCCATCAAATCTGAAGGCCCACGGCACGGCCTGTTTATAGCGTGTCGTGCCGCAGGCCTAGCACGTGGTCAACCTGAGTGCCTACAGATTTTTTTTAATATATTTATTATTAATAATTATTATAAAACATATAGATTATATTATTTAGTGATATTTTGTATTTGTTTTAATTAAAAGAAAATATAATCATTAGAAAATATAATAAAATAATAAGATGTTGAAATATTAATTGAATTTCAATATTTTTTAGTACTTATAATTATAAGTTATAAATACAAACTTAGAAATTAGGATTAAGAATTAACATTAACAATTACATCTTTATTAAAAATATAAATATAAAAACATAATACAATTATCTTAATTTTGATTATAATTTACAAATATTTAAAGTAAATGATTGATAAAAAAAATATCATGCATCTTTATCTTTACTAAATTCTAAATTATTAACGACTATCTTTTTTTTTTTTTAATACTTTTTTTAGTGGATTATACCCCACAAGCCTTTTTTAAAGCCAAGACATGACCCGCATTATCGCAGGCCTTGTCGTGCTATGCATGGGCATGGCCCACTGCCAGCTTTAGGTAAAAGCTGGCAAAAGGCCAAAAACCTCAGTAAATGCCCAGAATAAACAAACCAGCATTGTTCCAAAAAAAAAAAAAAAAAAAGAAAAAAAAAATTAAAACAGTACTAAGTAATAAAGATAAGAATACTTAAAATAGTTATTGAAAATACAAATTAAAAGTTCGACAGTATCATTTGCAAGTGATGATTCGCACCTAAAAAGGAAAAAGTAAATAAATAAAACAAAGATAACATAACTTTAATTCCTAGAGATAAA